TAGAGTAGATGTGAGATTGTGAACTTGATTTTGGATTGGCATATCGAGATTGTCTGTTGATTGTGCCAGGTATCGTGATGGTCGATGTGGTTGACTTGAGTTTTCTACTTGTGAGAATTGTGAGGTGAGTCCGTCAATTTTCTGATGGTGTTGGTTTAGTTTGAATGATGCTAGATAACAGTGTTGATTAGTGATTTTCACCAAGATCTCTGAGGAACAGTTCTGACGATTGTTTTTATTTGACAGGTGATAGTGTGTGGATTGATGATGGGATTGGATCACGAAGAGAGCGAGAGAGCGAGCGAGCGAGCGAGAGAGAGTAGTTTGGAGGTCATGAGCGATTGGCAATGTGGAGATATGATGTGGTCTAGTGAAGCGATCCTATCGGTCATGCGTCACGATGACACAGGTATGTTGTGTGGTTCTTTTTTTTGTTTGTTAGTGATGTTTATTTGCTACTTGTGATACAATGATATCATTACTGTCTGATGTTAGTTGATGAGGCGATGGTGTTTATGCATTTTTGTTTTGTATTTCCTATTTCAGGTGTGTGTTGTGTGGTGTTGACTGAGTGATTTGTTCAAATGTACAGGAAAGAGGCAGTGAAAAACAGTGTGAATACGAAGGAATGCGACATAGAGTAGATGTGAGATTGTGAATTTGATTTTGGATTGGCATATCGAGATTGTCTGTTGATTGTGCCAGGTATCGTGATGGTCGATGTGGTTGACTTGAGTTTTCTACTTGTGAGAATTGTGAGGTGAGTCCGTCAATTTTCTGATGGTGTTGGTTTAGTTTGAATGATGCTAGATAACAGTGTTGATTAGTGATTTTCACCAAGATCTCTGAGGAACAGTTCTGACGATTGTTTTTATTTGACAGGTGATAGTGTGTGGATTGATGATGGGATTGGATCACGAAGAGAGCGAGAGAGCGAGCGAGCGAGAGAGAGAGAGTAGTTTGGAGGTCATGAGCGATTGGCAATGTGGAGATATGATGTGGTCTAGTGAAGCGATCCTATCGGTCATGCGTCACGATGACACAGGTATGTTGTGTTGTTCTTTTTTTTTGTTTGTTAGTGATGTTTATTTGCTACTTGTGATACAATGATATCATTACTGTCTGATGTTAGTTGATGAGGCGATGGTGTTTATGCATTTTTGTTTTGTATTTCCTATTTCAGGTGTGTGTTGTGTGGTGTTGACTGAGTGATTTGTTCAAATGTACAGGAAAGAGGCAGTGAAAAACAGTGAGAATACGAAGGAATGCGACATAGAGTAGATGTGAGATTGTGAACTTGATTTTGGATTGGCATATCGAGATTGTCTGTTGATTGTGCCAGGTATCGTGATGGTCAATGTGGTTGACTTGAGTTTTCTACTTGTGAGAATTGTGAGGTGAGTCCGTCAATTTTCTGATGGTGTTGGTTTAGTTTGAATGATGCTAGATAACAGTGTTGATTAGTGATTTTCACCAAGATCTCTGAGGAACAGTTCTGACGATTGTTTTTATTTGACAGGTGATAGTGTGTGGATTGATGATGGGATTGGATCACGAAGAGAGCGAGAGAGCGAGCGAGCGAGCGAGAGAGAGTAGTTTGGAGGTCATGAGCGATTGGCAATGTGGAGATATGATGTGGTCTAGTGAAGCGATCCTATCGGTCATGCGTCACGATGACACAGGTATGTTGTGTTGTTCTTTTTTTTGTTTGTTAGTGATGTTTATTTGCTACTTGTGATACAATGATATCATTACTGTCTGATGTTAGTTGATGAGGCGATGGTGTTTATGCATTTTTGTTTTGTATTTCCTATTTCAGGTGTGTGTTGTGTGGTGTTGACTGAGTGATTTGTTCAAATGTACAGGAAAGAGGCAGTGAAAAACAGTGAGAATACGAAGGAATGCGACATAGAGTAGATGTGAGATTGTGAACTTGATTTTGGATTGGCATATCGAGATTGTCTGTTGATTGTGCCAGGTATCGTGATGGTCGATGTGGTTGACTTGAGTTTTCTACTTGTGAGAATTGTGAGGTGAGTCCGTCAATTTTCTGATGGTGTTGGTTTAGTTTGAATGATGCTAGATAACAGTGTTGATTAGTGATTTTCACCAAGATCTCTGAGGAACAGTTCTGACGATTGTTTTTATTTGACAGGTGATAGTGTGTGGATTGATGATGGGATTGGATCACGAAGAGAGCGAGAGAGCGAGCGAGCGAGCGAGAGAGAGTAGTTTGGAGGTCATGAGCGATTGGCAATGTGGAGATATGATGTGGTCTAGTGAAGCGATCCTATCGGTCATGCGTCACGATGACACAGGTATGTTGTGTTGTTCTTTTTTTTGTTTGTTAGTGATGTTTATTTGCTACTTGTGATACAATGATATCATTACTGTCTGATGTTAGTTGATGAGGCGATGGTGTTTATGCATTTTTGTTTTGTATTTCCTATTTCAGGTGTGTGTTGTGTGGTGTTGACTGAGTGATTTGTTCAAATGTACAGGAAAGAGGCAGTGAAAAACAGTGTGAATACGAAGGAATGCGACATAGAGTAGATGTGAGATTGTGAACTTGATTTTGGATTGGCATATCGAGATTGTCTGTTGATTGTGCCAGGTATCGTGATGGTCGATGTGGTTGACTTGAGTTTTCTACTTGTGAGAATTGTGAGGTGAGTCCGTCAATTTTCTGATGGTGTTGGTTTAGTTTGAATGATGCTAGATAACAGTGTTGATTAGTGATTTTCACCAAGATCTCTGAGGAACAGTTCTGACGATTGTTTTTATTTGACAGGTGATAGTGTGTGGATTGATGATGGGATTGGATCACGAAGAGAGCGAGAGAGCGAGCGAGCGAGCGAGAGAGAGTAGTTTGGAGGTCATGAGCGATTGGCAATGTGGAGATATGATGTGGTCTAGTGAAGCGATCCTATCGGTCATGCGTCACGATGACACAGGTATGTTGTGTTGTTCTTTTTTTTGTTTGTTAGTGATGTTTATTTGCTACTTGTGATACAATGATATCATTACTGTCTGATGTTAGTTGATGAGGCGATGGTGTTTATGCATTTTTGTTTTGTATTTCCTATTTCAGGTGTGTGTTGTGTGGTGTTGACTGAGTGATTTGTTCAAATGTACAGGAAAGAGGCAGTGAAAAACAGTGAGAATACGAAGGAATGCGACATAGAGTAGATGTGAGATTGTGAACTTGATTTTGGATTGGCATATCGAGATTGTCTGTTGATTGTGCCAGGTATCGTGATGGTCGATGTGGTTGACTTGAGTTTTCTACTTGTGAGAATTGTGAGGTGAGTCCGTCAATTTTCTGATGGTGTTGGTTTAGTTTGAATGATGCTAGATAACAGTGTTGATTAGTGATTTTCACCAAGATCTCTGAGGAACAGTTCTGACGATTGTTTTTATTTGACAGGTGATAGTGTGTGGATTGATGATGGGATTGGATCACGAAGAGAGCGAGAGAGCGAGCGAGCGAGCGAGAGAGAGTAGTTTGGAGGTCATGAGCGATTGGCAATGTGGAGATATGATGTGGTCTAGTGAAGCGATCCTATCGGTCATGCGTCACGATGACACAGGTATGTTGTGTTGTTCTTTTTTTTGTTTGTTAGTGATGTTTATTTGCTACTTGTGATACAATGATATCATTACTGTCTGATGTTAGTTGATGAGGCGATGGTGTTTATGCATTTTTGTTTTGTATTTCCTATTTCAGGTGTGTGTTGTGTGGTGTTGACTGAGTGATTTGTTCAAATGTACAGGAAAGAGGCAGTGAAAAACAGTGAGAATACGAAGGAATGCGACATAGAGTAGATGTGAGATTGTGAACTTGATTTTGGATTGGCATATCGAGATTGTCTGTTGATTGTGCCAGGTATCGTGATGGTCGATGTGGTTGACTTGAGTTTTCTACTTGTGAGAATTGTGAGGTGAGTCCGTCAATTTTCTGATGGTGTTGGTTTAGTTTGAATGATGCTAGATAACAGTGTTGATTAGTGATTTTCACCAAGATCTCTGAGGAACAGTTCTGACGATTGTTTTTATTTGACAGGTGATAGTGTGTGGATTGATGATGGGATTGGATCACGAAGAGAGCGAGAGAGCGAGCGAGCGAGCGAGAGAGAGTAGTTTGGAGGTCATGAGCGATTGGCAATGTGGAGATATGATGTGGTCTAGTGAAGCGATCCTATCGGTCATGCGTCACGATGACACAGGTATGTTGTGTTGTTCTTTTTGTTTGTTTGTTAGTGATGTTTATTTGCTACTTGTGATACAATGATATCATTACTGTCTGATGTTAGTTGATGAGGCGATGGTGTTTATGCATTTTTGTTTTGTATTTCCTATTTCAGGTGTGTGTTGTGTGGTGTTGACTGAGTGATTTGTTCAAATGTACAGGAAAGAGGCAGTGAAAAACAGTGAGAATACGAAGGAATGCGACATAGAGTAGATGTGAGATTGTGAACTTGATTTTGGATTGGCATATCGAGATTGTCTGTTGATTGTGCCAGGTATCGTGATGGTCGATGTGGTTGACTTGAGTTTTCTACTTGTGAGAATTGTGAGGTGAGTCCGTCAATTTTCTGATGGTGTTGGTTTAGTTTGAATGATGCTAGATAACAGTGTTGATTAGTGATTTTCACCAAGATCTCTGAGGAACAGTTCTGACGATTGTTTTTATTTGACAGGTGATAGTGTGTGGATTGATGATGGGATTGGATCACGAAGAGAGCGAGAGAGCGAGCGAGCGAGCGAGAGAGAGTAGTTTGGAGGTCATGAGCGATTGGCAATGTGGAGATATGATGTGGTCTAGTGAAGCGATCCTATCGGTCATGCGTCACGATGACACAGGTATGTTGTGTTGTTCTTTTTTTTGTTTGTCAGTGATGTTTATTTGCTACTTATGATACAATGATATCATTACTGTCTGATGTTAGTTGATGAGGCGATGGTGTTTATGCATTTTTGTTTTGTATTTCCTATTTCAGGTGTGTGTTGTGTGGTGTTGACTGAGTGATTTGTTCAAATGTACAGGAAAGAGGCAGTGAAAAACAGTGTGAATACGAAGGAATGCGACATAGAGTAGATGTGAGATTGTGAACTTGATTTTGGATTGGCATATCGAGATTGTCTGTTGATTGTGCCAGGTATCGTGATGGTCGATGTGGTTGACTTGAGTTTTCTACTTGTGAGAATTGTGAGGTGAGTCCGTCAATTTTCTGATGGTGTTGGTTTAGTTTGAATGATGCTAGATAACAGTGTTGATTAGTGATTTTCACCAAGATCTCTGAGGAACAGTTCTGACGATTGTTTTTATTTGACAGGTGATAGTGTGTGGATTGATGATGGGATTGGATCACGAAGAGAGCGAGAGAGCGAGCGAGCGAGCGAGCGAGAGAGAGTAGTTTGGAGGTCATGAGCGATTGGCAATGTGGAGATATGATGTGGTCTAGTGAAGCGATCCTATCGGTCATGCGTCACGATGACACAGGTATGTTGTGTTGTTCTTTTTTTTGTTTGTTAGTGATGTTTATTTGCTACTTGTGATACAATGATATCATTACTGTCTGATGTTAGTTGATGAGGCGATGGTGTTTATGCATTTTTGTTTTGTATTTCCTATTTCAGGTGTGTGTTGTGTGGTGTTGACTGAGTGATTTGTTCAAATGTACAGGAAAGAGGCAGTGAAAAACAGTGAGAATACGAAGGAATGCGACATAGAGTAGATGTGAGATTGTGAACTTGATTTTGGATTGGCATATCGAGATTGTCTGTTGATTGTGCCAGGTATCGTGATGGTCGATGTGGTTGACTTGAGTTTTCTACTTGTGAGAATTGTGAGGTGAGTCCGTCAATTTTCTGATGGTGTTGGTTTAGTTTGAATGATGCTAGATAACAGTGTTGATTAGTGATTTTCACCAAGATCTCTGAGGAACAGTTCTGACGATTGTTTTTATTTGACAGGTGATAGTGTGTGGATTGATGATGGGATTGGATCACGAAGAGAGCGAGAGAGCGAGCGAGCGAGCGAGAGAGAGTAGTTTGGAGGTCATGAGCGATTGGCAATGTGGAGATATGATGTGGTCTAGTGAAGCGATCCTATCGGTCATGCGTCACGATGACACAGGTATGTTGTGTTGTTCTTTTTTTTGTTTGTTAGTGATGTTTATTTGCTACTTGTGATACAATGATATCATTACTGTCTGATGTTAGTTGATGAGGCGATGGTGTTTATGCATTTTTGTTTTGTATTTCCTATTTCAGGTGTGTGTTGTGTGGTGTTGACTGAGTGATTTGTTCAAATGTACAGGAAAGAGGCAGTGAAAAACAGTGAGAATACGAAGGAATGCGACATAGAGTAGATGTGAGATTGTGAACTTGATTTTGGATTGGCATATCGAGATTGTCTGTTGATTGTGCCAGGTATCGTGATGGTCGATGTGGTTGACTTGAGTTTTCTACTTGTGAGAATTGTGAGGTGAGTCCGTCAATTTTCTGATGGTGTTGGTTTAGTTTGAATGATGCTAGATAACAGTGTTGATTAGTGATTTTCACCAAGATCTCTGAGGAACAGTTCTGACGATTGTTTTTATTTGACAGGTGATAGTGTGTGGATTGATGATGGGATTGGATCACGAAGAGAGCGAGAGAGCGAGCGAGCGAGAGAGAGAGTAGTTTGGAGGTCATGAGCGATTGGCAATGTGGAGATATGATGTGGCCTAGTGAAGCGATCCTATCGGTCATGCGTCACGATGACACAGGTATGTTGTGTTGTTCTTTTTGTTTGTTTGTTAGTGATGTTTATTTGCTACTTGTGATACAATGATATCATTACTGTCTGATGTTAGTTGATGAGGCGATGGTGTTTATGCATTTTTGTTTTGTATCTCCTATTTCAGGTGTGTGTTGTGTGGTGTTGACTGAGTGATTTGTTCAAATGTACAGGAAAGAGGCAGTGAAAAACAGTGAGAATACGAAGGAATGCGACATAGAGTAGATGTGAGATTGTGAACTTGATTTTGGATTGGCATATCGAGATTGTCTGTTGATTGTGCCAGGTATCGTGATGGTCGATGTGGTTGACTTGAGTTTTCTACTTGTGAGAATTGTGAGGTGAGTCCGTCAATTTTCTGATGGTGTTGGTTTAGTTTGAATGATGCTAGATAACAGTGTTGATTAGTGATTTTCACCAAGATCTCTGAGGAACAGTTCTGACGATTGTTTTTATTTGACAGGTGATAGTGTGTGGATTGATGATGGGATTGGATCACGAAGAGAGCGAGAGAGCGAGCGAGCGAGCGAGAGAGAGTAGTTTGGAGGTCATGAGCGATTGGCAATGTGGAGATATGATGTGGTCTAGTGAAGCGATCCTATCGGTCATGCGTCACGATGACACAGGTATGTTGTGTTGTTCTTTTTTTTTGTTTGTTAGTGATGTTTATTTGCTACTTGTGATACAATGATATCATTACTGTCTGATGTTAGTTGATGAGGCGATGGTGTTTATGCATTTTTGTTTTGTATCTCCTATTTCAGGTGTGTGTTGTGTGGTGTTGACTGAGTGATTTGTTCAAATGTACAGGAAAGAGGCAGTGAAAAACAGTGAGAATACGAAGGAATGCGACATAGAGTAGATGTGAGATTGTGAACTTGATTTTGGATTGGCATATCGAGATTGTCTGTTGATTGTGCCAGGTATCGTGATGGTCGATGTGGTTGACTTGAGTTTTCTACTTGTGAGAATTGTGAGGTGAGTCCGTCAATTTTCTGATGGTGTTGGTTTAGTTTGAATGATGCTAGATAACAGTGTTGATTAGTGATTTTCACCAAGATCTCTGAGGAACAGTTCTGACGATTGTTTTTATTTGACAGGTGATAGTGTGTGGATTGATGATGGGATTGGATCACGAAGAGAGCGAGAGAGCGAGCGAGCGAGCGAGCGAGAGAGAGTAGTTTGGAGGTCATGAGCGATTGGCAATGTGGAGATATGATGTGGTCTAGTGAAGCGATCCTATCGGTCATGCGTCACGATGACACAGGTATGTTGTGTTGTTCTTTTTTTTGTTTGTTAGTGATGTTTATTTGCTACTTGTGATACAATGATATCATTACTGTCTGATGTTAGTTGATGAGGCGATGGTGTTTATGCATTTTTGTTTTGTATCTCCTATTTCAGGTGTGTGTTGTGTGGTGTTGACTGAGTGATTTGTTCAAATGTACAGGAAAGAGGCAGTGAAAAACAGTGAGAATACGAAGGAATGCGACATAGAGTAGATGTGAGATTGTGAACTTGATTTTGGATTGGCATATCGAGATTGTCTGTTGATTGTGCCAGGTATCGTGATGGTCGATGTGGTTGACTTGAGTTTTCTACTTGTGAGAATTGTGAGGTGAGTCCGTCAATTTTCTGATGGTGTTGGTTTAGTTTGAATGATGCTAGATAACAGTGTTGATTAGTGATTTTCACCAAGATCTCTGAGGAACAGTTCTGACGATTGTTTTTATTTGACAGGTGATAGTGTGTGGATTGATGATGGGATTGGATCACGAAGAGAGCGAGAGAGCGAGCGAGCGAGAGAGAGAGAGTAGTTTGGAGGTCATGAGCGATTGGCAATGTGGAGATATGATGTGGTCTAGTGAAGCGATCCTATCGGTCATGCGTCACGATGACACAGGTATGTTGTGTTGTTCTTTTTTTTTGTTTGTTAGTGATGTTTATTTGCTACTTGTGATACAATGATATCATTACTGTCTGATGTTAGTTGATGAGGCGATGGTGTTTATGCATTTTTGTTTTGTATTTCCTATTTCAGGTGTGTGTTGTGTGGTGTTGACTGAGTGATTTGTTCAAATGTACAGGAAAGAGGCAGTGAAAAACAGTGTGAATACGAAGGAATGCGACATAGAGTAGATGTGAGATTGTGAACTTGATTTTGGATTGGCATATCGAGATTGTCTGTTGATTGTGCCAGGTATCGTGATGGTCGATGTGGTTGACTTGAGTTTTCTACTTGTGAGAATTGTGAGGTGAGTCCGTCAATTTTCTGATGGTGTTGGTTTAGTTTGAATGATGCTAGATAACAGTGTTGATTAGTGATTTTCACCAAGATCTCTGAGGAACAGTTCTGACGATTGTTTTTATTTGACAGGTGATAGTGTGTGGATTGATGATGGGATTGGATCACGAAGAGAGCGAGAGAGCGAGCGAGCGAGCGAGAGAGAGAGTAGTTTGGAGGTCATGAGCGATTGGCAATGTGGAGATATGATGTGGTCTAGTGAAGCGATCCTATCGGTCATGCGTCACGATGACACAGGTATGTTGTGTTGTTCTTTTTTTTGTTTGTTAGTGATGTTTATTTGCTACTTGTGATACAATGATATCATTACTGTCTGATGTTAGTTGATGAGGCGATGGTGTTTATGCATTTTTGTTTTGTATTTCCTATTTCAGGTGTGTGTTGTGTGGTGTTGACTGAGTGATTTGTTCAAATGTACAGGAAAGAGGCAGTGAAAAACAGTGTGAATACGAAGGAATGCGACATAGAGTAGATGTGAGATTGTGAACTTGATTTTGGATTGGCATATCGAGATTGTCTGTTGATTGTGCCAGGTATCGTGATGGTCGATGTGGTTGACTTGAGTTTTCTACTTGTGAGAATTGTGAGGTGAGTCCGTCAATTTTCTGATGGTGTTGGTTTAGTTTGAATGATGCTAGATAACAGTGTTGATTAGTGATTTTCACCAAGATCTCTGAGGAACAGTTCTGACGATTGTTTTTATTTGACAGGTGATAGTGTGTGGATTGATGATGGGATTGGATCACGAAGAGAGCGAGAGAGCGAGCGAGAGAGAGAGTAGTTTGGAGGTCATGAGCGATTGGCAATGTGGAGATATGATGTGGTCTAGTGAAGCGATCCTATCGGTCATGCGTCACGATGACACAGGTATGTTGTGTTGTTCTTTTTGTTTGTTTGTTAGTGATGTTTATTTGCTACTTGTGATACAATGATATCATTACTGGCTGATGTTAGTTGATGAGGCGATGGTGTTTATGCATTTTTGTTTTGTATTTCCTATTTCAGGTGTGTGTTGTGTGGTGTTGACTGAGTGATTTGTTCAAATGTACAGGAAAGAGGCAGTGAAAAACAGTGTGAATACGAAGGAATGCGACATAGAGTAGATGTGAGATTGTGAACTTGATTTTGGATTGGCATATCGAGATTGTCTGTTGATTGTGCCAGGTATCGTGATGGTCGATGTGGTTGACTTGAGTTTTCTACTTGTGAGAATTGTGAGGTGAGTCCGTCAATTTTCTGATGGTGTTGGTTTAGTTTGAATGATGCTAGATAACAGTGTTGATTAGTGATTTTCACCAAGATCTCTGAGGAACAGTTCTGACGATTGTTTTTATTTGACAGATGATAGTGTGTGGATTGATGATGGGATTGGATAACGAAGAGAGAGAGAGAGCGAGCGAGCGAGCGAGAGAGAGTAGTTTGGAGGTCATGAGCGATTGGCAATGTGGAGATATGATGTGGCCTAGTGAAGCGATCCTATCGGTCATGCGTCACGATGACACAGGTATGTTGTGTTGTTCTTTTTGTTTGTTTGTTAGTGATGTTTATTTGCTACTTGTGATACAATGATATCATTACTGTCTGATGTTAGTTGATGAGGCGATGGTGTTTATGCATTTTTGTTTTGTATCTCCTATTTCAGGTGTGTGTTGTGTGGTGTTGACTGAGTGATTTGTTCAAATGTACAGGAAAGAGGCAGTGAAAAACAGTGTGAATACGAAGGAATGCGACATAGAGTAGATGTGAGATTGTGAACTTGATTTTGGATTGGCATATCGAGATTGTCTGTTGATTGTGCCAGGTATCGTGATGGTCGATGTGGTTGACTTGAGTTTTCTACTTGTGAGAATTGTGAGGTGAGTCCGTCAATTTTCTGATGGTGTTGGTTTAGTTTGAATGATGCTAGATAACAGTGTTGATTAGTGATTTTCACCAAGATCTCTGAGGAACAGTTCTGACGATTGTTTTTATTTGACAGGTGATAGTGTGTGGATTGATGATGGGATTGGATCACGAAGAGAGCGAGAGAGCGAGCGAGAGAGAGAGAGTAGTTTGGAGGTCATGAGCGATTGGCAATGTGGAGATATGATGTGGTCTAGTGAAGCGATCCTATCGGTCATGCGTCACGATGACACAGGTATGTTGTGTTGTTCTTTTTTTTTGTTTGTTAGTGATGTTTATTTGCTACTTGTGATACAATGATATCATTACTGTCTGATGTTAGTTGATGAGGCGATGGTGTTTATGCATTTTTGTTTTGTATTTCCTATTTCAGGTGTGTGTTGTGTGGTGTTGACTGAGTGATTTGTTCAAATGTACAGGAAAGAGGCAGTGAAAAACAGTGTGAATACGAAGGAATGCGACATAGAGTAGATGTGAGATTGTGAACTTGATTTTGGATTGGCATATCGAGATTGTCTGTTGATTGTGCCAGGTATCGTGATGGTCGATGTGGTTGACTTGAGTTTTCTACTTGTGAGAATTGTGAGGTGAGTCCGTCAATTTTCTGATGGTGTTGGTTTAGTTTGAATGATGCTAGATAACAGTGTTGATTAGTGATTTTCACCAAGATCTCTGAGGAACAGTTCTGACGATTGTTTTTATTTGACAGGTGATAGTGTGTGGATTGATGATGGGATTGGATCACGAAGAGAGCGAGAGAGCGAGCGAGCGAGCGAGCGAGAGAGAGAGTAGTTTGGAGGTCATGAGCGATTGGCAATGTGGAGATATGATGTGGTCTAGTGAAGCGATCCTATCGGTCATGCGTCACGATGACACAGGTATGTTGTGTTGTTCTTTTTTTTGTTTGTTAGTGATGTTTATTTGCTACTTGTGATACAATGATATCATTACTGTCTGATGTTAGTTGATGAGGCGATGGTGTTTATGCATTTTTGTTTTGTATTTCCTATTTCAGGTGTGTGTTGTGTGGTGTTGACTGAGTGATTTGTTCAAATGTACAGGAAAGAGGCAGTGAAAAACAGTGAGAATACGAAGGAATGCGACATAGAGTAGATGTGAGATTGTGAACTTGATTTTGGATTGGCATATCGAGATTGTCTGTTGATTGTGCCAGGTATCGTGATGGTCGATGTGGTTGACTTGAGTTTTCTACTTGTGAGAATTGTGAGGTGAGTCCGTCAATTTTCTGATGGTGTTGGTTTAGTTTGAATGATGCTAGATAACAGTGTTGATTAGTGATTTTCACCAAGATCTCTGAGGAACAGTTCTGACGATTGTTTTTATTTGACAGGTGATAGTGTGTGGATTGATGATGGGATTGGATCACGAAGAGAGCGAGAGAGCGAGCGAGCGAGAGAGAGTAGTTTGGAGGTCATGAGCGATTGGCAATGTGGAGATATGATGTGGCCTAGTGAAGCGATCCTATCGGTCATGCGTCACGATGACACAGGTATGTTGTGTTGTTCTTTTTGTTTGTTTGTTAGTGATGTTTATTTGCTACTTGTGATACAATGATATCATTACTGTCTGATGTTAGTTGATGAGGCGATGGTGTTTATGCATTTTTGTTTTGTATTTCCTATTTCAGGTGTGTGTTGTGTGGTGTTGACTGAGTGATTTGTTCAAATGTACAGGAAAGAGGCAGTGAAAAACAGTGTGAATACGAAGGAATGCGACATAGAGTAGATGTGAGATTGTGAACTTGATTTTGGATTGGCATATCGAGATTGTCTGTTGATTGTGCCAGGTATCGTGATGGTCGATGTGGTTGACTTGAGTTTTCTACTTGTGAGAATTGTGAGGTGAGTCCGTCAATTTTCTGATGGTGTTGGTTTAGTTTGAATGATGCTAGATAACAGTGTTGATTAGTGATTTTCACCAAGATCTCTGAGGAACAGTTCTGACGATTGTTTTTATTTGACAGGTGATAGTGTGTGGATTGATGATGGGATTGGATCACGAAGAGAGCGAGAGAGCGAGCGAGCGAGCGAGAGAGAGTAGTTTGGAGGTCATGAGCGATTGGCAATGTGGAGATATGATGTGGCCTAGTGAAGCGATCCTATCGGTCATGCGTCACGATGACACAGGTATGTTGTGTTGTTCTTTTTTTTGTTTGTTAGTGATGTTTATTTGCTACTTGTGATACAATGATATCATTACTGTCTGATGTTAGTTGATGAGGCGATGGTGTTTATGCATTTTTGTTTTGTATTTCCTATTTCAGGTGTGTGTTGTGTGGTGTTGACTGAGTGATTTGTTCAAATGTACAGGAAAGAGGCAGTGAAAAACAGTGTGAATACGAAGGAATGCGACATAGAGTAGATGTGAGATTGTGAACTTGATTTTGGATTGGCATATCGAGATTGTCTGTTGATTGTGCCAGGTATCGTGATGGTCGATGTGGTTGACTTGAGTTTTCTACTTGTGAGAATTGTGAGGTGAGTCCGTCAATTTTCTGATGGTGTTGGTTTAGTTTGAATGATGCTAGATAACAGTGTTGATTAGTGATTTTCACCAAGATCTCTGAGGAACAGTTCTGACGATTGTTTTTATTTGACAGGTGATAGTGTGTGGATTGATGATGGGATTGGATCACGAAGAGAGCGAGAGAGCGAGCGAGCGAGAGAGAGAGAGTAGTTTGGAGGTCATGAGCGATTGGCAATGTGGAGATATGATGTGGTCTAGTGAAGCGATCCTATCGGTCATGCGTCACGATGACACAGGTATGTTGTGTTGTTCTTTTTGTTTGTTTGTTAGTGATGTTTATTTGCTACTTGTGATACAATGATATCATTACTGTCTGATGTTAGTTGATGAGGCGATGGTGTTTATGCATTTTTGTTTTGTATTTCCTATTTCAGGTGTGTGTTGTGTGGTGTTGACTGAGTGATTTGTTCAAATGTACAGGAAAGAGGCAGTGAAAAACAGTGAGAATACGAAGGAATGCGACATAGAGTAGATGTGAGATTGTGAACTTGATTTTGGATTGGCATATCGAGATTGTCTGTTGATTGTGCCAGGTATCGTGATGGTCGATGTGGTTGACTTGAGTTTTCTACTTGTGAGAATTGTGAGGTGAGTCCGTCAATTTTCTGATGGTGTTGGTTTAGTTTGAATGATGCTAGATAACAGTGTTGATTAGTGATTTTCACCAAGATCTCTGAGGAATAGTTCTGACGATTGTTTTTATTTGACAGGTGATAGTGTGTGAATTGATGATGGGATTGGATCACGAAGAGAGCGAGAGAGCGAGCGAGCGAGAGAGAGTAGTTTGGAGGTCATGAGCGATTGGCAATGTGGAGATATGATGTGGTCTAGTGAAGCGATCCTATCGGTCATGCGTCACGATGACACAGGTATGTTGTGTTGTTCTTTTTTTTGTTTGTTAGTGATGTTTATTTGCTACTTGTGATACAATGATATCATTACTGTCTGATGTTAGTTGATGAGGCGATGGTGTTTATGCATTTTTGTTTTGTATTTCCTATTTCAGGTGTGTGTTGTGTGGTGTTGACTGAGTGATTTGTTCAAATGTACAGGAAAGAGGCAGTGAAAAACAGTGAGAATACGAAGGAATGCGACATAGAGTAGATGTGAGATTGTGAACTTGATTTTGGATTGGCATATCGAGATTGTCTGTTGATTGTGCCAGGTATCGTGATGGTCGATGTGGTTGACTTGAGTTTTCTACTTGTGAGAATTGTGAGGTGAGTCCGTCAATTTTCTGATGGTGTTGGTTTAGTTTGAATGATGCTAGATAACAGTGTTGATTAGTGATTTTCACCAAGATCTCTGAGGAACAGTTCTGACGATTGTTTTTATTTGACAGGTGATAGTGTGTGGATTGATGATGGGATTGGATCACGAAGAGAGCGAGAGAGCGAGCGAGAGAGAGTAGTTTGGAGGTCATGAGCGATTGGCAATGTGGAGATATGATGTGGCCTAGTGAAGCGATCCTATCGGTCATGCGTCACGATGACACAGGTATGTTGTGTTGTTCTTTTTGTTTGTTTGTTAGTGATGTTTATTTGCTACTTGTGATACAATGATATCATTACTGTCTGATGTTAGTTGATGAGGCGATGGTGTTTATGCATTTTTGTTTTGTATCTCCTATTTCAGGTGTGTGTTGTGTGGTGTTGACTGAGTGATTTGTTCAAATGTACAGGAAAGAGGCAGTGAAAAACAGTGTGAATACGAAGGAATGCGACATAGAGTAGATGTGAGATTGTGAACTTGATTTTGGATTGGCATATCGAGATTGTCTGTTGATTGTGCCAGGTATCGTGATGGTCGATGTGGTTGACTTGAGTTTTCTACTTGTGAGAATTGTGAGGTGAGTCCGTCAATTTTCTGATGGTGTTGGTTTAGTTTGAATGATGCTAGATAACAGTGTTGATTAGTGATTTTCACCAAGATCTCTGAGGAACAGTTCTGACGATTGTTTTTATTTGACAGATGATAGTGTGTGGATTGATGATGGGATTGGATAACGAAGAGACCGAGAGAGCGAGCGAGCGAGCGAGCGAGAGAGAGAGTAGTTTGGAGGTCATGAGCGATTGGCAATGTGGAGATATGATGTGGTCTAGTGAAGCGATCCTATCGGTCATGCGTCACGATGACACAGGTATGTTGTGTTGTTCTTTTTTTTGTTTGTTAGTGATGTTTATTTGCTACTTGTGATACAATGATATCATTACTGTCTGATGTTAGTTGATGAGGCGATGGTGTTTATGCATTTTTGTTTTGTATTTCCTATTTCAGGTGTGTGTTGTGTGGTGTTGACTGAGTGATTTGTTCAAATGTACAGGAAAGAGGCAGTGAAAAACAGTGAGAATACGAAGGAATGCGACATAGAGTAGATGTGAGATTGTGAACTTGATTTTGGATTGGCATATCGAGATTGTCTGTTGATTGTGCCAGGTATCGTGATGGTCGATGTGGTTGACTTGAGTTTTCTACTTGTGAGAATTGTGAGGTGAGTCCGTCAATTTTCTGATGGTGTTGGTTTAGTTTGAATGATGCTAGATAACAGTGTTGATTAGTGATTTTCACCAAGATCTCTGAGGAACAGTTCTGACGATTGTTTTTATTTGACAGATGATAGTGTGTGGATTGATGATGGGATTGGATAACGAAGAGACCGAGAGAGCGAGCGAGCGAGCGAGCGAGCGAGAGAGAGAGTAGTTTGGAGGTCATGAGCGATTGGCAATGTGGAGATATGATGTGGTCTAGTGAAGCGATCCTATCGGTCATGCGTCACGATGACACAGGTATGTTGTGTTGTTCTTTTTTTTGTTTGTCAGTGATGTTTATTTGCTACTTATGATACAATGATATCATTACTGTCTGATGTTAGTTGATGAGGCGATGGTGTTTATGCATTTTTGTTTTGTATTTCCTATTTCAGGTGTGTGTTGTGTGGTGTTGACTGAGTGATTTGTTCAAATGTACAGGAAAGAGGCAGTGAAAAACAGTGTGAATACGAAGGAATGCGACATAGAGTAGATGTGAGATTGTGAACTTGATTTTGGATTGGCATATCGAGATTGTCTGTTGATTGTGCCAGGTATCGTGATGGTCGATGTGGTTGACTTGAGTTTTCTACTTGTGAGAATTGTGAGGTGAGTCCGTCAATTTTCTGATGGTGTTGGTTTAGTTTGAATGATGCTAGATAACAGTGTTGATTAGTGATTTTCACCAAGATCTCTGAGGAACAGTTCTGACGATTGTTTTTATTTGACAGATGATAGTGTGTGGATTGATGATGGGATTGGATAACGAAAAGACCGAGAGAGCGAGCGAGAGAGAGAGTAGTTTGGAGGTCATGAGCGATTGGCAATGTGGAGATATGATGTGGCCTAGTGAAGCGATCCTATCGGTCATGCGTCACGATGACACAGGTATGTTGTGTTGTTCTTTTTTTTGTTTGTTAGTGATGTTTATTTGCTACTTGTGATACAATGATATCATTACTGTCTGATGTTAGTTGATGAGGCGATGGTGTTTATGCATTTTTGTTTTGTATTTCCTATTTCAGGTGTGTGTTGTGTGGTGTTGACTGAGTGATTTGTTCAAATGTACAGGAAAGAGGCAGTGAAAAACAGTGTGAATACGAAGGAATGCGACATAGAGTAGATGTGAGATTGTGAACTTGATTTTGGATTGGCATGTCGAGATTGTCTGTTGATTTTGCCAGGTATCGTGATGGTCGATGTGGTTGACTTGAGTTTTCTACTTGTGAGAATTGTGAGGTGAGTCCGTCAATTTTCTGATGGTGTTGGTTTAGTTTGAATGATGCTAGATAACAGTGTTGATTAGTGATTTTCACCAAGATCTCTGAGGAACAGTTCTGACGATTGTTTTTATTTGACAGATGATAGTGTGTGGATTGATGATGGGATTGGATAACGAAGAGACCGAGAGAGCGAGCGAGCGAGCGAGCGAGAGAGAGAGTAGTTTGGAGGTCATGAGCGATTGGCAATGTGGAGATATGATGTGGCCTAGTGAAGCGATCCTATCGGTCATGCGTCACGATGACACAGGTATGTTGTGTTGTTCTTTTTGTTTGTTTGTTAGTGATGTTTATTTGCTACTTGTGATACAATGATATCATTACTGTCTGATGTTAGTTGATGAGGCGATGGTGTTTATGCATTTTTGTTTTGTATTTCCTATTTCAGGTGTGTGTTGTGTGGTGTTGACTGAGTGATTTGTTCAAATGTACAGGAAAGAGGCAGTGAAAAACAGTGAGAATACGAAGGAATGCGACATAGAGTAGATGTGAGATTGTGAACTTGATTTTGGATTGGCATATCGAGATTGTCTGTTGATTGTGCCAGGTATCGTGATGGTCGATGTGGTTGACTTGAGTTTTCTACTTGTGAGAATTGTGAGGTGAGTCCGTCAATTTTCTGATGGTGTTGGTTTAGTTTGAATGATGCTAGATAACAGTGTTGATTAGTGATTTTCACCAAGATCTCTGAGGAATAGTTCTGACGATTGTTTTTATTTGACAGGTGATAGTGTGTGGATTGATGATGGGATTGGATCACGAAGAGAGCGAGAGAGCGAGCGAGAGAGAGTAGTTTGGAGGTCATGAGCGATTGGCAATGTGGAGATATGATGTGGTCTAGTGAAGCGATCCTATCGGTCATGCGTCACGATGACACAGGTATGTTGTGTTGTTCTTTTTGTTTGTTTGTTAGTGATGTTTATTTGCTACTTGTGATACAATGATATCATTACTGTCTGATGTTAGTTGATGAGGCGATGGTGTTTATGCATTTTTGTTTTGTATTTCCTATTTCAGGTGTGTGTTGTGTGGTGTTGACTGAGTGATTTGTTCAAATGTACAGGAAAGAGGCAGTGAAAAACAGTGTGAATACGAAGGAATGCGACATAGAGTAGATGTGAGATTGTGAACTTGATTTTGGATTGGCATATCGAGATTGTCTGTTGATTGTGCCAGGTATCGTGATGGTCGATGTGGTTGACTTGAGTTTTCTACTTGTGAGAATTGTGAGGTGAGTCCGTCAATTTTCTGATGGTGTTGGTTTAGTTTGAATGATGCTAGATAACAGTGTTGATTAGTGATTTTCACCAAGATCTCTGAGGAACAGTTCTGACGATTGTTTTTATTTGACAGGTGATAGTGTGTGGATTGATGATGGGATTGGATCACGAAGAGAGCGAGAGAGCGAGCGAGCGAGCGAGAGAGAGTAGTTTGGAGGTCATGAGCGATTGGCAATGTGGAGATATGATGTGGCCTAGTGAAGCGATCCTATCGGTCATGCGTCACGATGACACAGGTATGTTGTGTTGTTCTTTTTTTTGTTTGTTAGTGATGTTTATTTGCTACTTGTGATACAATGATATCATTACTGTCTGATGTTAGTTGATGAGGCGATGGTGTTTATGCATTTTTGTTTTGTATTTCCTATTTCAGGTGTGTGTTGTGTGGTGTTGACTGAGTGATTTGTTCAAATGTACAGGAAAGAGGCAGTGAAAAACAGTGTGAATACGAAGGAATGAGACATAGAGTAGATGTGAGATTGTGAACTTGATTTTGGATTGGCATATCGAGATTGTCTGTTGATTGTGCCAGGTATCGTGATGGTCGATGTGGTTGACTTGAGTTTTCTACTTGTGAGAATTGTGAGGTGAGTCCGTCAATTTTCTGATGGTGTTGGTTTAGTTTGAATGATGCTAGATAACAGTGTTGATTAGTGATTTTCACCAAGATCTCTGAGGAACAGTTCTGACGATTGTTTTTATTTGACAGATGATAGTGTGTGGATTGATGATGGGATTGGATCACGAAGAGAGCGAGAGAGCGAGCGAGCGAGCGAGAGAGAGTAGTTTGGAGGTCATGAGCGATTGGCAATGTGGAGATATGATGTGGTCTAGTGAAGCGATCCTATCGGTCATGCGTCACGATGACACAGGTATGTTGTGTTGTTCTTTTTTTTGTTTGTTAGTGATGTTTATTTGCTACTTGTGATACAATGATATCATTACTGTCTGATGTTAGTTGATGAGGCGATGGTGTTTATGCATTTTTGTTTTGTATTTCCTATTTCAGGTGTGTGTTGTGTGGTGTTGACTGAGTGATTTGTTCAAATGTACAGGAAAGAGGCAGTGAAAAACAGTGAGAATACGAAGGAATGCGACATAGAGTAGATGTGAGATTGTGAACTTGATTTTGGATTGGCATATCGAGATTGTCTGTTGATTGTGCCAGGTATCGTGATGGTCGATGTGGTTGACTTGAGTTTTCTACTTGTGAGAATTGTGAGGTGAGTCCGTCAATTTTCTGATGGTGTTGGTTTAGTTTGAATGATGCTAGATAACAGTGTTGATTAGTGATTTTCACCAAGATCTCTGAGGAATAGTTCTGACGATTGTTTTTATTTGACAGGTGATAGTGTGTGAATTGATGATGGGATTGGATCACGAAGAGAGCGAGAGAGCGAGCGAGAGAGAGTAGTTTGGAGGTCATGAGCGATTGGCAATGTGGAGATATGATGTGGTCTAGTGAAGCGATCCTATCGGTCATGCGTCACGATGACACAGGTATGTTGTGTTGTTCTTTTTTTTGTTTGTTAGTGATGTTTATTTGCTACTTGTGATACAATGATATCATTACTGTCTGATGTTAGTTGATGAGGCGATGGTGTTTATGCATTTTTGTTTTGTATCTCCTATTTCAGGTGTGTGTTGTGTGGTGTTGACTGAGTGATTTGTTCAAATGTACAGGAAAGAGGCAGTGAAAAACAGTGAGAATACGAAGGAATGCGACATAGAGTAGATGTGAGATTGTGAACTTGATTTTGGATTGGCATATCGAGATTGTCTGTTGATTGTGCCAGGTATCGTGATGGTCGATGTGGTTGACTTGAGTTTTCTACTTGTGAGAATTGTGAGGTGAGTCCGTCAATTTTCTGATGGTGTTGGTTTAGTTTGAATGATGCTAGATAACAGTGTTGATTAGTGATTTTCACCAAGATCTCTGAGGAATAGTTCTGACGATTGTTTTTATTTGACAGGTGATAGTGTGTGGATTGATGATGGGATTGGATCACGAAGAGAGCGAGAGAGCGAGCGAGAGAGAGTAGTTTGGAGGTCATGAGCGATTGGCAATGTGGAGATATGATGTGGCCTAGTGAAGCGATCCTATCGGTCATGCGTCACGATGACACAGGTATGTTGTGTTGTTCTTTTTGTTTGTTTGTTAGTGATGTTTATTTGCTACTTGTGATACAATGATATCATTACTGTCTGATGTTAGTTGATGAGGCGATGGTGTTTATGCATTTTTGTTTTGTATTTCCTATTTCAGGTGTGTGTTGTGTGGTGTTGACTGAGTGATTTGTTCAAATGTACAGGAAAGAGGCAGTGAAAAACAGTGTGAATACGAAGGAATGCGACATAGAGTAGATGTGAGATTGTGAACTTGATTTTGGATTGGCATGTCGAGATTGTCTGTTGATTTTGCCAGGTATCGTGATGGTCGATGTGGTTGACTTGAGTTTTCTACTTGTGAGAATTGTGAGGTGAGTCCGTCAATTTTCTGATGGTGTTGGTTTAGTTTGAATGATGCTAGATAACAGTGTTGATTAGTGATTTTCACCAAGATCTCTGAGGAACAGTTCTGACGATTGTTTTTATTTGACAGATGATAGTGTGTGGATTGATGATGGGATTGGATAACGAAGAGACCGAGAGAGCGAGCGAGCGAGCGAGCGAGAGAGAGAGTAGTTTGGAGGTCATGAGCGATTGGCAATGTGGAGATATGATGTGGCCTAGTGAAGCGATCCTATCGGTCATGCGTCACGATGACACAGGTATGTTGTGTTGTTCTTTTTTTTGTTTGTTAGTGATGTTTATTTGCTACTTGTGATACAATGATATCATTACTGTCTGATGTTAGTTGATGAGGCGATGGTGTTTATGCATTTTTGTTTTGTATTTCCTATTTCAGGTGTGTGTTGTGTGGTGTTGACTGAGTGATTTGTTCAAATGTACAGGAAAGAGGCAGTGAAAAACAGTGAGAATACGAAGGAATGCGACATAGAGTAGATGTGAGATTGTGAACTTGATTTTGGATTGGCATATCGAGATTGTCTGTTGATTGTGCCAGGTATCGTGATGGTCGATGTGGTTGACTTGAGTTTTCTACTTGTGAGAATTGTGAGGTGAGTCCGTCAATTTTCTGATGGTGTTGGTTTAGTTTGAATGATGCTAGATAACAGTGTTGATTAGTGATTTTCACCAAGATCTCTGAGGAATAGTTCTGACGATTGTTTTTATTTGACAGGTGATAGTGTGTGGATTGATGATGGGATTGGATCACGAAGAGAGCGAGAGAGCGAGCGAGAGAGAGTAGTTTGGAGGTCATGAGCGATTGGCAATGTGGAGATATGATGTGGTCTAGTGAAGCGATCCTATCGGTCATGCGTCACGATGACACAGGTATGTTGTGTTGTTCTTTTTTTTTGTTTGTTAGTGATGTTTATTTGCTACTTGTGATACAATGATATCATTACTGTCTGATGTTAGTTGATGAGGCGATGGTGTTTATGCATTTTTGTTTTGTATTTCCTATTTCAGGTGTGTGTTGTGTGGTGTTGACTGAGTGATTTGTTCAAATGTACAGGAAAGAGGCAGTGAAAAACAGTGTGAATACGAAGGAATGCGACATAGAGTAGATGTGAGATTGTGAACTTGATTTTGGATTGGCATATCGAGATTGTCTGTTGATTGTGCCAGGTATCGTGATGGTCGATGTGGTTGACTTGAGTTTTCTACTTGTGAGAATTGTGAGGTGAGTCCGTCAATTTTCTGATGGTGTTGGTTTAGTTTGAATGATGCTAGATAACAGTGTTGATTAGTGATTTTCACCAAGATCTCTGAGGAACAGTTCTGACGATTGTTTTTATTTGACAGGTGATAGTGTGTGGATTGATGATGGGATTGGATCACGAAGAGACCGAGAGAGCGAGCGAGCGAGCGAGCGAGAGAGAGAGTAGTTTGGAGGTCATGAGCGATTGGCAATGTGGAGATATGATGTGGTCTAGTGAAGCGATCCTATCGGTCATGCGTCACGATGACACAGGTATGTTGTGTTGTTCTTTTTTTTGTTTGTTAGTGATGTTTATTTGCTACTTGTGATACAATGATATCATTACTGTCTGATGTTAGTTGATGAGGCGATGGTGTTTATGCATTTTTGTTTTGTATTTCCTATTTCAGGTGTGTGTTGTGTGGTGTTGACTGAGTGATTTGTTCAAATGTACAGGAAAGAGGCAGTGAAAAACAGTGAGAATACGAAGGAATGCGACATAGAGTAGATGTGAGATTGTGAACTTGATTTTGGATTGGCATATCGAGATTGTCTGTTGATTGTGCCAGGTATCGTGATGGTCGATGTGGTTGACTTGAGTTTTCTACTTGTGAGAATTGTGAGGTGAGTCCGTCAATTTTCTGATGGTGTTGGTTTAGTTTGAATGATGCTAGATAACAGTGTTGATTAGTGATTTTCACCAAGATCTCTGAGGAACAGTTCTGACGATTGTTTTTATTTGACAGGTGATAGTGTGTGGATTGATGATGGGATTGGATCACGAAGAGAGCGAGAGAGCGAGCGAGAGAGAGTAGTTTGGAGGTCATGAGCGATTGGCAATGTGGAGATATGATGTGGTCTAGTGAAGCGATCCTATCGGTCATGCGTCACGATGACACAGGTATGTTGTGTTGTTCTTTTTTTTTGTTTGTTAGTGATGTTTATTTGCTACTTGTGATACAATGATATCATTACTGTCTGATGTTAGTTGATGAGGCGATGGTGTTTATGCATTTTTGTTTTGTATTTCCTATTTCAGGTGTGTGTTGTGTGGTGTTGACTGAGTGATTTGTTCAAATGTACAGGAAAGAGGCAGTGAAAAACAGTGTGAATACGAAGGAATGCGACATAGAGTAGATGTGAGATTGTGAACTTGATTTTAGATTGGCATATCGAGATTGTCTGTTGATTGTGCCAGGTATCGTGATGGTCGATGTGGTTGACTTGAGTTTTCTACTTGTGAGAATTGTGAGGTGAGTCCGTCAATTTTCTGATGGTGTTGGTTTAGTTTGAATGATGCTAGATAACAGTGTTGATTAGTGATTTTCACCAAGATCTCTGAGGAACAGTTCTGACGATTGTTTTTATTTGACAGGTGATAGTGTGTGGATTGATGATGGGATTGGATCACGAAGAGAGCGAGAGAGCGAGCGAGCGAGCGAGAGAGAGTAGTTTGGAGGTCATGAGCGATTGGCAATGTGGAGATATGATGTGGCCTAGTGAAGCGATCCTATCGGTCATGCGTCACGATGACACAGGTATGTTGTGTTGTTCTTTTTTTTGTTTGTTAGTGATGTTTATTTGCTACTTGTGATACAATGATATCATTACTGTCTGATGTTAGTTGATGAGGCGATGGTGTTTATGCATT